TCCTCCGGCTCCACCGTGGACCCCTCCCCCACCCCCGTGTCGGGCCAGCCTGGGCGAGGAGGAGGCTCCCTTGTCACCGTCGCCATGAACAGCTAGCAGGGGCCAGCTACAGTGCCTCACACCGACTTCCGCCCTGTGCTCCGGCCCAGCGACACGGTCTGAAACCGACTCACGGTGGGAGAACACACGGAGAGCGCCCTGCCAGGACCAACCCTCAACTGGCCCTTCCTCTGCCTCGGGGACGGGAAAGCCACACGCAGGGCAGCACCCACACACAGGGACAGCAACGTTGAAAACACCGTCCACGTGCTCCCTTGCAGGTGGCTGCCCTCTTTCAACGACAACACGGGTTCACCGGAGCCCAGTCTGGTCAGTAACCAGTTTCTCATCGGAGACCCCGGTCCGGCAATCACAGAGGTCCCAGAGGTCACACTGGCGACCTCTGAGACACGGGGCAAGTGGCCCGGGACCAGGGCGCGGGCCCGAGGAATGCTGGTCCCACCGTCGCCGCGGCTCGCTTTGCTTCTGTCCCTCGTCTGGTGTCAGGGGCCGAAAACGCTCCGCCTCCCGCGCCAGCTTTTCCCCACGAGGCCGAGACCCCCCTCCCGGGCCCCCCTCCCGCTCCCAAGGAGGGGCCGTGGTGGAATCGGGAGACCGAGCGCTCCCAGGCCTCGAAGCCCAATCCTTGCCTCCCGCACGGCTCAGCGACAGCCGACCGGCCGACCCCGCGGAGACGAATGCGGAGCGCGCCCCCAGGAGCGCCCCCTTTTGTGCCCAGGGTGGACTGGGACAGCCAAGCGATTAACCACGGGAAGGAAGGGCTCATCACGGAGAAGCTGGCGGACGCGGACCCGGCAGCACGTGCGCGGCTGCCGCAGTATTCTTACAATTCCTTTTTATACATAACGGATGATCCTTCTGCTCGAGTGTCCCCTATGTTCTTTGCCTGTGAAATAATTTACATTAATAAATAATTTATTACCATAACTCCTGAAGTAATTATGGGTTTCCATCCTTTTTTTTTTTTTTTTTTAGCATATGAATTGTTTTGTTCCCTGTCCACAGACTCCTATTGACGGGACTCTTCCTGGCGGCCCTTTCACGACCGCTGGCACTGCGCTTGCTCTCACACACACACACCCTGCGTCACTGCCAGGTCTCCGCCGGGCCTGAGAGCGGAGGAAGACGGGACGTGCGGTGCCCACGGTCCCCAGGACCCAGAACTCGCTCAGTGGGAGCCACGAGCCAAGGGGGCGGCGGGGAGAGCGGCGTGCCCTCACCATGCTCGCTGTGTCACCCAGGATTACACGCATGAGCCGGGGCGGCACGGAGAAGCATCTCCCGTTGCGAGTGCAGGAGGAGCTGGGGGGAGCCGGGCACCAGGGGTTCCCACGTGGCTCCAGGCTCGCCCAGGGCAGAGGGATTCTCCCCGGCACGGCCAAGCCCCGTCCTGCTCCCACCAGCAATCCTGGCCAGTAACAGAAGCCGGCCTGCTGACCACTGGCCGGGCCGCACCCGCGAGGCTGCCACCTGACTGAGGTTTCCTGTGTCGAAAACACAATGACCAGCGGGGCAAACAGCTCCCCCCGCACGGGAGCCGCCTGCAGGGGGGACCCGGCTCAGCACAGGTGTGCTAAGGGGGGTCTGGGAGGTGACAAAGGAAACCAAGAGGCAGAATGTTATGGTCTTTGCTGGAAAGAGCCCTGAGGGACTGGGCCCCGGGCCCACTCGGCCCTGCCCTGCCCCCACCCCCACCCCTCACCCAGCTTCTTCCCTCCTCCACTGTGGAAAAGCACAAAACCACTTCTTTGTGTTAAGTTCCCAAAATTTGGGGCTGGGGGGAGGGCCAGCAGGGTGGACACAAAGATGGGGAGGGGCCTGCAATCCTGCTCAGGAGGAGGAGGAGGAGGAGGAAGGCACGTGATAAAACACCACTGTGGGCACTGGACTGCATTTGCGAGGCGTTGTTATCGCAGTGGGTGCAGGGGGGCCACGCTGCTTGAAAGGGCGGCCTTTTCAGGGGAAGCACACGGGCCGCTGCCCTCCCCACCCAGATGTGCTTGCCCGCATTTTCCTTCAGAACGTTCGCGAAACTCAAACCCGTTCTGGCTTCCAGCTAGGGCCCTGCCCGGAGGGGAAGGTGGGGGGGAGAACCGAGTGACAGGGTCGAGCTGTCCCCAGCTCTCTCACGGGAGAACCCCACTCATCAGGGCCAGAACACGAGTCCTTTATCTCCGGGAGACAGGCAGGGGGTTTGGCGATTACAGAGATGTGACACTTTATCTTTGCTGAGCACCGTCCGGCCCTGGAAGGGCCCGGACCCTCTTGACAAGTCTGGCTGGGCCCCACGGGGTGTGCTCTCGCCTGCTATGGAAAAGCGGTCACGCCTCAGATGAAATCTCACCGCCTGGGACGCCCTCCCAGGTCACGGCACAGGGCGAAGCCACACCTGGATCTCGGGTCACCAGCGCCTCCACCGGCACACGGGCCTGGGAGAGCCCAGGACTGCGGGCGTTCCCGCCTCGGCAGGTGCAGCGGGGCAGGGCCAGAGGCCAGAGGAGGGACTGAGCTGGCCGGCGCCTTTGGTGCACCGCTGTCTCTCTGAATCCAGCAAACACCGGCAAACACCGGCAAGAAGTGGGAACCGGGGCTCAGGAAGACGGGCTGCCACACCCACAGCTCTGAGGGCCGAGTCACTCCACCAGCCCCCCTTGCCTGACACACAGCAGTGACTCAACAAACACCTGCCACCACAAGCCACAGATGGGTCGGGGCTTCTGGACTCCAAGGACAGGCTGAGCAACAGAAAGCCAAGCACAGAGGCAGGGAGAGACGCCGAAGAGAAGGGCGAGGGGACTCCACAGACCCCTGGCAGCGCCCAGGTGCTGGGCTGCAGAGCAGGAGGGAGACAGGGCCGGGAGGGGCAGACCCTCCAGGGCCGCTCTGCAAACGAGAGGTGGCAGAAGCAGCGGCACAGGCCTCCCAGACGCCCCGGGCAGGAGAGAGGCTCCCCGGCAAAGAGCAAGCTGCAGGCCTGCGCCGGGCAGTCTGCAAGGAGACCCTCCCTCCATGTGGGTCCATCCCCTGGGCCTCCGCCTCGGTCCCTGGGCCCGAGGGTCTCTCCCCACGAGGGCGACTGCCCTGCCGACACCCCCTCCCCCAGGAAACCAAAGTTTGGGCAGGGAGCCGGCCGCTCACGTCGGGGTGCTCGCGCCAAGCCGGCCCCCTCACGAACACGCTGGCACACGGCCGCAGGCCAGCCCACGGGGCAGGTGCTGTGCTCACAGCCGGCTCTCAGACGAGGACACTGAGGCTGGAACGGGTCAGCAGCACCAGCCCCGACCTCGCCCATCACACACCTGCAGGGGCCCCGCGCCGTCACGACGCACTCAGTGCAGAGGGAGGGCACAGGGGCCTGGTGCCGGCCGGCCTGGCGGCTGGGAGCCAAAGCCAGGCTGGGCTGGGGGCCAGTCACGCCCAGAGCCTCTCCGCGCCCCGCCGTGACAACGGGGGGCAGCTCCCCCACAGCTCAACTGTGACTCTGACCCAGATGGGGCCGGCAGGCATCTGGGCCGGGCGGCTGGGCCACTGAGGGTTTGCCGAAAGCTGTTAACCACTAACGAGGCGTTCCGTTGCGCCCCATGTGGGGACGGGCCTCAGAAGTGTGTCACACGGGGAAGCCAAGGCCAGGTGACCTTCCTGCCTCCGTTTCCTCTGATGGCAGGCGAGCGCCTGGGCTCTCCGTCCGCGCTGTGGCTTGTGACTAAGAAGAAAACCGTCTTCCTTCTCCCCCACCTGGGGTCCCACTCTGCCCGCTGAGGGGCCTGGGGGACCACCTCCCTCAGCCGCAGTTCCCCTCCGTATGCGAACGGAGCATCCTGCCCGCCCCCCGCAGCTGCTGCAGAGCCCAGGGATCCCGCAGGTGAGGAGCGTGGCCCAGCACCCCGCCTCCCTGCCACCCCCCCTTCAGGCGCTGGGTCTACGGACAAGAAGGCGCATGCTGCTCAGAGGGGAAACTGAGGCAGGGGCAACAGGCCCACAGCGGCGACCCGTCATGGGGGCCAGGCTGCAGCCTCCACAGAGATGTCACAGTACCCCCCCATCAGTCGGGGTGTCCCCACAGGGGCAGGAGTCACAGACAGACGGCCGGCGAGTGGAGACACGGGGCCCCGGCACCCAGAGCGGGAGAGATCAATCTCGCCGATACAGGCACCCCTCCTCCTGCCCCTTCGGAAGCACGGGGACCGAGGCCGCCTTTCCGGAAAGCGACAGCGAGCCAGCGCCTCCAGACCGCGTCCCCCGCCGGCCCGTCCGTCCCCCTTGTGGGCACTGCCCTGGGGAACAGTCCAGAAGGCAGACGGAGCTTAGACGCTTCACCGTGTCAGCCACACCAGCCAACACCACGCCCTTCCACCCGGCAGCCAAGGAACCGCTCCATCAGCGAGCACATCCTGGCCCGTCCCCACAGCGCAGTGCCCTGAGCTCATCGCAACGCAGGGGACCCGCAAGTTCAGTGCTGTGGGGGACCCGGTGGGAACCGCTCCTGAGCAAAGCATGGGAAATAAGTTTTTTTAATACGGTTTTACATAATCGTGTGTTCATCGTGGACTCGGCTGGGGAAACAAGCGCAAAACACACAGAAACACACCCACGTGTGAGAGCAGTTACTGCCTCTGAGCAACAGTGGGGCCACGGGAGGTTTTTACCTGACGCTTTGCACTCCGGTGCACTTTCTGACTTCGAAAGAGGAGCACGGTTCCTGTGACAGAAACGCTCCGTGCTGCGGCTGGGATTGCGTTTGCCCGCCACGCACCAGCCCCTGGCCCAGCAGCCCCCTGCACCGCGGGGGCCGGGACAGCTCGGACACACGGCCCAGCGTCCCCGCGGCCGCTCGCTGGGCCCGGGTCCGGATGGCGCTCGCGGGTCTCACCTGGAGGACGCGGGCCCCGGTGGGGGGGCCTGCCGGGGAAGGACGGCTCCCGGCTGCGACGGTTACTCACCCATAACTCCACAAGAGAAAAGTGTCGGTCCGTGACTCATCTTCTTTGGCGTGTGCTGAAAACAACCAGAAAAGCCATTCACTCTCCAGGTCATGAGAAGCGCGTCTGCACGCAGCCCTGCGCGGGGGCCCGTGCCAAAGTCACAGTGACGGGGGACGGGCGGCCGGCGTCGGGTTCTCGGAAGGAGAGGAGAGTGTCCAGAGAGAGGAGGTCGGCCTGTGGCGGGGCCTGGACGCAGGGGGGCCCCCGGGTCTCCGGGGAGGTACGGAGTCTGTCGAGGGAGCGGGTTTCGAACCCCCACCGGCAAGGCCCGTGACCTGACGCCGGGGCACTGGCCACGGGAGGGGCGTGTGACGTGCACGGGTCACCAGGGTGGGCTGAAGAGAGAGTCCCCTCCCCCCCCGCCTCACCTCACGGCCTAGGCCTGGGGGAGGAGGGGGCCTCCCGGGGCAGGAAGAGCCTCGCGTGAGGGATGGGGGTGCTCTGCCACCCCCCAGGCACCCTCTCTGAACTGAAACGGAAACTCGCAGCTGTCACTGCTCTCGGCAGCCAGCGCTGGCTCCTGAGCTGCTCAGCACCACGGCCCCAGGACGGCCTCCCTTTCCGCCCGGGACGGTGTGCACCTTCCTTCCCCCGACCCCGCACCCAGCCGCAGCGGAACTCGGGGGCCATCAGGTGAGACACGGGCCGGTGAGCCCCGAGCCCAGGCCCCGGCTCCGAGGCTGCACAGACACCCGAGCTGGGGACTCCCTGGGGTCCCTGTGCTCGCAGAGGCCCAAGTCCGGAGAGGGGCCTGTCCTGACCGCTGGTGAGGAGGAATCTGTGGCTGCCCATCCTGGCCTCGGGAGGAAGGGCCTGGTCAAGCACTCCAAAGACTCACACACCCACCCACCCACCCATCCATGTATCCATCCATCCGCCCGCCCATCAGCAAACCTGTGCCAGTGGGGACCTGCACGTGGGGTCACCGGTGAAAACCTACGGGCCGATCGTGTCACAGTGACGGAAGCTCCCGGCCCCAGAGCCCCTGGCTGGTCACAGAGCTCTCACCTGCGAGAGCAGCCCAGGCCCTGGCTCTTTAAGGCCTGGAAGCACCAGGGTGGAGCGAGCTGGGAACAACACCTGGCCCACCCAGATAAGACGGGTGGCAAGCGCCTGGCACCGGCTCCCCACCCGTCCCCAGCTGCCCAATGCAGGGACCTCTGCCCTCAGTCATATATGTGGTCATCCAGTCAGCTTATTAGGGTTCACCCTGAGCAGCCTGGGGCGCAGAGGTGAAGAACCCTTCCAGGACATAGAGGCTGGGACAGGAGGGGAGGTGACCCAGCCTGCAGGTGCTGGGGGCCAGGGCTGGCTTCCTCGGGGAAACGCCGGAGCTGGTGCTCAAGGACCAGAAGGAGCTCCCGGGGCGGGGGGGGGGGGGGGAGAGGTGGCGGGAAGTCCTTCGTCAGTGCCCCCACCTCCGTTCAAAACAATTCTCTTCCTGTCGGGACCGGGCGCCCTCCTGGATTCCAGTGACTTGACCCCCACCCCACGGGCTCCGTTCACGCAGCGCCGAAAGCCCGCCCCGAAGTCACCCGACGGAGAGCAGGTGACAAGCTCGAGAGCCCTGCGGGGTTCAGACGGGGGGAGGCTGGGCTCGGCCAGTGCTGCAGGCCTGGCCTGCCGAGGGGGACAGCCCCAACGCCACGCGGGCACCCGGCACAGAGCGGGCGCTCGCTGGGGAACCACAGCCCCCACGCCAGCCGGGGGCCCACCGGCACCCAGACCAGGGCCCGGCTGGGGAACGCAGAGGAGAGCGAGGAGCCCACAGCGGCCTGTGCGCTGCGCCAGGCACAGGGGCCACCGAGCAGAGCTCGGGGCCGCAGGCGGCCGCGAGAGACGGGCGGCGGACCGGCCCGCGGTCACGTCTTGGCTCGCCGGCCGTCTCCTTCCACGGAGCTGCGTGTTCCGGACAGAGGGCCAGCCCGGGCCCTCCCAGGGAAGGTGCGAGTGGGAGTGGGCACAGAGGGAAGCCACCGCGCCGGCACGCAGGACCCCCGGGCCTCCAGCCACTCCCTCGCTCGCTCGCTTGCTCAGCGAGGCCTCAGCTGTGTCTGCTGCAGACCCTTTCCCAGGGCGGTGCAGACACGCGTGGAATGGGAGGGCTTCTCGCTCCCCTGCAGCCCCGCCCCCCCCACCTCCACCCCCACCTCCACCCCCACCCCCACCCGCCTCTACAGCAGCCTGACCGAGCCAGGCTCCTACCTAGCCCTCCCCACCCCCACCCTCCACCCCACCCCCGTGCCCTGGGCCTGCCCTCCCACGCTGCTCCTCTGCCTACCACCCCCCCAGCTACTTCCCACAGCAACCGAGGAACACTCAGGCCACCCCCGTCCCTGCCGCCCCCCGGACCCACGTGGGCCCGGCCCGGCACCCTCAGTCCCACCAGGTCCCCCCTGTGCTCACACGCAGCTGGGCAGGACCAGCCAGCTCGATGCCACCCGGGGCCTCTGCGGTGGGGTCCTTCTAGGATGGGCTCCGGGTCTGTCCTGTCACGCGGCCCCCACCGTGCCCTTCCCTGGCCGCCTGCCTAAAAGGGCGCCCTCCCCACCCTGCGGGTCTCCCACGGTCTCGTTTAGGGTCTGGGCCACGCACATCAGCTCGTTTGGTTCCGGGCTTTCTCCCTGACCCCCCGCCCCGAGAGCTAAGCTTCGTGAGGCTGCTGTCTGGTCCCCGCACGGAGCAGGCACCACGAGACCGTCCGCTGCCCGGCGGCCCTGGCCCCCCGTCAGCCCCGCCTCTTGCTCGTGCTGCATGTGCCCCGACTGGGTTGGTTCACAGGCCAGCAATGGAAATGGACATTCACTGGGTGGACCTGTTGCCTCCCCCAATCGCTGGGCTCATGCCAAGCCGAAATTCAGTGGGGGAGGAGCCAGAACGCCAGGCAGACAGAGTCAGGGGTGACCCCGGGCCAGCCCAGGCTCCCCAGGCGGCCTCGGACTCTGCACCCGAGGGCACGGTGGACCGGCGATGGCTCACGCTGAGAGTTTACAACGTGAGGGAACCCCTTCCCCAAGTCCACTGCTCTAGGGGATCTCCACCCCTGGGCCCCTCGTGGTGTGCGTGTGAAACTGCGAGCTGGGGGTGCACCTGCTTCTTCCGCTAACGGCACCCCAATTCTCCACTAGGGCCCCGCCCTCCGCCACTGCACAGACTGTGGTGGGACTGTGTCCGATCTCCCCCGGCGCGGGGTGGGCACAGGCCATGGGTGTGGCTGACCAGACACTCCTGGGCCCGGGGCTCTGACGCCTGGGCCAGGCCAGGGCCGGCTCACTGCGTGGGGACGCCCGCGGCCTGCCACGAGCACCTGCGTCCAGAACGCGCCGAGCTGCCCCATCCCTGCCCGCCCTGGGCTTCACCCCCCAACTCTTCTCCGGTCCTAGAGCCCTCCCCCAGCGCACCAGAGAACTAACTCTCTCCGGGTGCAAGTGAGCGGCAGAGGGTCTGGCACTCACAACGGAGGGACCCTGGCCGTTTCGTGCTGACCCTCAAGAGGCTAATGGTGAGTGGGCCACGGCTCGGCGGCCTGAGAAACTGCGAGAAGCGAGTTCTGAGCGGAGCCGTTCAGGACCTTGGGGAAAGATTTCTAAGTGAAGCCTGCTTAACCAGAAAGATGTTTCCGGTGAGACGCAGTTTTTTGTTGTTAAGTTTTATTTGTCTATTTTTAGAGAGGGGGAAGGGAGAGAGAGAGAAACATCAATGTGTGGTTGCCTCTCACGCACCCTCTACCGGGGGCCGTGGCCTGCAACCCAGGCATGTGCCCCGACTGGGAATTGAACCGGCGACCCTTGGTTCGCAGGCCGGCACTCGGTTCACTGAGCCACACCAGCCAGGGCTTGTTGGGTTTTGGTTTTTGTTTTGTTTTGGTTTGGTTTGGTTTTTTTAAACGAAATGCAGCTTTCTCTCCTTTCTTCTTCTTTTTCCTTTTCGTGACCATCAGCTCAGTCAAACTGGTGTGTGTGTGTGTGTGTGTGTGTGTGTGTGTGTAGAACGTCCACCAGAGCAAACACGAGAAATGCTGACTGACAGGACGGTGGCAATTCTCAGGGCAACCCCGAGGCCTGACACGGTCTCGGGCTACTTCCCCCTGGGGCGCTGGGGCAGCCACACGGACGAGAAAAAGAGACGGACTCAGAGGCCCCATCTTGCCTTCGGAGCCCCGTCTGAGGCCGGGCCGGCGGCGTGCGGGCCGGGGCACATCACACCCCCGACGGCTTCCCGGGGAGTCGGGCCCCAGGGAGGCGCTGACCTCGGGCAGGTTCCCCCTGGGCTCCAGGTCGTCCCGGGCCGTTTCACTCCCAGTCTCTCCGGTGCAGGACACCCGCTCACCGTCTGTGCCGCTCTGCAGCCAGCCGCACTCCACCCCTCGGACCCACGCACCCACTGCGGGGAGGAAGGAGGGGAGGAAGGGCCGACTGCTCCTGGGCTCCTGGATGGGGCCCCACACCCCTCCGTGAGCGCAGAGACGTGTCTGTGGTGACCCAGGACGGTGACCCGGGACAACGAGCACGGCCCCTCCCCCCAGTAGTTCTCCCAGTGTGAAGTCTGCCCAGGGCAGGGCCTGGTCTCTGTGAGGTTCCTTAGACCACGAGAGAAGATTCTGGAAACAGATCTGGGGGAGGGAGGGGGGGGAGGCAAAGGCTGCCAATCCCACTGAGACCTGGGGGGCCACGTCTCTGACAATACCCCGACTTCAACAAAGACTCAGTTCAGGTCTCTCCCCAGTGAGGGGCCACCTCGGGCAGAAAGGGCCATCGCCACGCCTCCTTCTGCAGGTCACTGCTCCCTCCTCCCGACGCAGCGTCACGGGGAACCACCGTGCGCACAGACACGCGCACCCCGACACCCCAAGGGGAAGGAGCAGAGCGCCCGGGCCTCTGCAGTAGAACTCAGGGAGGCTGCAGCGGTGGGGAGCAGAAGGGACAGCCAGGCCCCGGGAGAAGAGAGGAGCTGAGAACGGCGCCGAGCCCCTGGGAGGAGGCTCTCAAAGATGCAAATGGAGAAGAAGCTACAGGGCCCGCCTCCCCAGACTCGGGGTTCACCCAGCGCGGGCAGGCCCCTCAGTGTCCTGGCCTGCCAGGGGCGAAAGGCATCAGACTGCCTCGGTCCGGCACTTCTGGGTTCGGACTCCAGGCCGCTGGCCGGCCAGGACCCTGGCTGGGGCTGCCCAATGCCAGCCGGAAGTACGAAGATCCTCGGAGCCCAGGCGGCCGGGTGCCAGGCCTGCCCTGGCCGCTGATCCTTTCGACTGAGCGAGCCGCTCAGCCCTGGCATCCTCATCGGACAAGCACAGGAGGGAGGACCCGCCCCATGAACCAGGGGGAGGGGGCTGTTGTGGGACAGACCACGAGGCGGGGAAAGCGGGGCCGCCGGGAGCACACCCCGCCCCGGCGCCCTCTGGCCTCCAGGCCTCCGAGGGGGCCGGGAGGCCTGCAGGGCGGAGGGGGCCGGAGAGCAGCCCTGGGCCTGTGCGTGGGCGTGCGGGAAGGAGCTGGGGGAACGCTGTCCCCGAGGTCAAACGTCTGGGCGGCCTGCCAGCGGCAGCAGCTAATGTTAGAACGCTCGAAGGAAGGGCCGGCCACGGGGCAGGGGAAGGCGGCGGCGGCAGAGTGGGGGAAAGGGGAACCGAGCGCAGTCCCCGCCGCCCGTTGTGCAAGCGGGCCGGGGGCACCACGGCGCCCAGGCCGCCTCTCTCGGGGGACAGGCAACAGGCCGAGCGCCCGGCGGCCCCTGCTGCCGTTTCCCTTCGTCTCTCCCAGGGGTGGGGCGGGCACGCAGCTGCCAGCACCCAGCTTTTAGAAAACGGAGACCCAGAGCCGTGGAACAGGCTCCTAGAAGGGCCGGGAGGGGGCCGGCCAGGCCCGCAGGGGTGTCTGCAGGCCTCTCCTCGCCCAGCTTTCCGAGGCTCCCCCAGCGGCCCCCCCAGCGGCCCCAAGGTGACCTTCACCAGCAGTGTGTGACTCTGACTCCTCATGGATGTGGCTCTGGGACCCGCTCCCACAATTCCGAAGTGGCCCGCGGTGATTCGCACCCCGTTTCTCACCCTTGAACCCCCCACTCCTGCGGTCTTCTCAGTCTCGCTAGGAAACAGGAGGGGAAAGCCTTTCCCTCTCCCCTGCTGGCATCTCGATGGCACCTAGCGAGGAAGGCGTAGCTGGCTTAGGAGGCTGAAGCAAAGCCCCTGCAAACTTCCTCTCCGGCTGGCAGGCCCCTCAGGGCAAATCACTGGGCTGGGCTTATCTGGGTCCTCCTCAGCTGCTTCGGTCCCTGCCTCCCCCAGGAGCCTGGCAGAGTCCTGGGAGGCCGCAGCCTCAGGGGACGGGCCGGGGCGTGTGCGGAGGTCCCAGGTGCAGGACACACGGGCCTGGACTCGAAGGCGGTGTCCTGGCACCCTGCTCACCGGCTGGGTGACCTGCCCCCCCCCCACCGCCGTCCCCTGGGCCCTCAGAGCCCCAGTTTCCTGACTATGTAACTGGGTAGAGAGAGACGTACCCCTGCCCCTCCGCCAGGCGGGGGGAGGCTCCCGGGCACACAGGGAGACACAGGGAGACACAGGGAGACCGGACCTCCACCAGTGCCACTCAGACCACGGCCCCGCTTCCAGGCTGCTGGATGCAGCCGCGCTCCCTGCCTGCACTGCGCTCGCACGGGCGCTGCACGGGCAGAACCAGGACGTGCCCCAGGCTGCAGCCAACAACTGTGACATGCCAACACACGGACCACGAGAGCCCCTCTCCAGAGGGGGCCGCTGCCCACAGCTGACCTGCCCAGACGTCTGGGGGACAAGGGGACAGAAGAGGAGGACGGGTGGGGGGGGGGGCCCAAGTTCTGGGCTGGGGGGCCGTGGGCCTGGAGCGGCCGGCGACTTCCCGAGAAAGGGGAAAGCAAGAGCCTGGCCCACCGGGCAGCAGGAGCGCACACAGAGAGCGCCCCGTCGGTGGCCCGCCTGCTCCCACCGATTTTCCTTCCTGTTCTTCTTGGAGGAGGTGAGTGTCCCAGCCCTGGGTAGGGCTGAGAGGCTGCGCTCCTCCTGGCAAGGAGCTCAGACCGTGTCCATCTGAAGAGCAGCTCAGCTGACCTTGGGCCCACGTGCCCTGGAACCAGCTCCACAGCCAACCCCAGCCAGCCCTGAGACGGGACCAAGTTCACCGGCAGCCGCTGAGGCCGCCGGCGCAGCTGGAACCGGGCAGAGACCCTCCCCTGCGACCTCCAGAAGGCCCTCAGTCTGAAGACCATGCCGTCCCGGTCAGAGCCATGCCCGATGTGTTCTTTAGATTCGGCAGGAAAACACCCACCGGTAACGGAAAACAGAGCCGCCTCAGCCGCGAACCTGGGCAGCCGCCGGAGAGGCACCAACACAACGGCGAGCTCAGAGGAGCGGCACCGTGGGAACCCACGTGCGTTCGTTCCTCCTGCGCATGTCCACCTGCCATGGGCTGGACCCGGGCGCTAGGCACTGGGCCTGCAGCAACAAGCAAAAGAGACACAACGCCCACATTCTAGTGCAGGAGTCATGCGATACACAAGATCCAGTGTCAGGAAGCACTTCAAAGGGAAGAGAGACAGGGAAAGGGGACAGAAAGTGTGTGTGCTGGGGGGAGGCGAGGGTGGTAGCGGAACTAAGTGTTAGGCTGACTGGCCAGAGAACAAAGGAAGGGAGGGAGGGCCATGCTAGGGGGGAGTCTCCCAGGCCGTGGGACACGTGCAAAGGCCCTGGGGCAGGTCTGTGCCTGCGCAAGGAGCCAGTGCAGTCTGTGCCGAGTGCACGGGGTCGGGCTGGGGCGGCAGAGAGTGAGCGGAGTGCTCATGGGGGCCAGAGTGCGAGGGCCCTTCCTGAATGGGACGCCCGAGGAAGGTTCCACGCAGAGGAGGGGGAGATCTGACCGTGTTCCCTCTGGCTGCTGGGTGGGGGACCGGCTGAGGGAGCCAGAAGCAAGGGACCAGTTCCCGCAAGAACCCTGGCGAGAGCGGACGGCAGCAGCGTCTGGGATGCTGAGCGGGGTCTAACCACAGACGTACGTCACACACAGGCCGGACAGGTGGCGTGACTCATCTCTGCACGATTCATCCAGCCCAGTGCCTGACACACCCCAGGTGCTCTGTCAAGGCCTGTGGGGTGGACGCAGGTCTGGTGGCTCCTGCCAGGGCCCCACCCGCCCCCGTCGGCCCGGCTGCTGGTGAGCGACAAAGGACGGAGCCACGAGGGTGCCAGTGGAGGGGCGCTGGGCGACGTGACCCTGGACAGTGGGCTCCCCGCTGACCCCAGACCTGCAGGGGGTCCGGGAGGCTCGCCCACCCACAAAGCCCCTCCACAGGAGAGCTTCTGGCTGAGCGGGACCCCCTCCGCTGCTCCTGCAGGGGGCAGCCCGCTCGCTCCCGAGGGGCCGGGGCCGGGGCCGCAGCAGGCCAGAGCCCGTGGTGTGCTCCCCCTGACGGCCACTCATCTGCCTCTCCGGCCCGGCCCACCGGGCCGTCTGTTCAGAGGACAACTCTGGCAGAGGGCGGCCGAGGGGGGCTGTCACCACGGCCCACCGTGCTGGCCACCAGACTGCGCCTTCTCTCTCCACCGTCTCCTGCGCTACCCATTCCTCCGGCAGCCGCCCGTGCCCTGCACCGCCCTGTGGAGGGATGGCCTTATCTCAGGCCCCACTCGGGCACCACCCCCCTTACCGGGCGGAGACCAGCAGGAACTCGGGTCTCGGCCGGGCTGGGGCAGCGGGCCGACGCTCACTCGGTGTTAGGGACCAGGGGCTGCCCACCCCGCCTCCCTCACCAGAGGGCTACGGTCTGGGCCCGGCTACTTCCTCCTCGCAAGTATTGTCCTCGCCCGGGCTCCGGCTTCCTCTGCCCCCAACCCCCCCCCCCCGGCTGGCAGCGCCCTGCAGAGCTCTCGGGCACGCCGGACTCGGTCTGCCAGGCCTACGTGCCCGCTGCGTGCTGCGTCCCCAGCCCCAGCGGGACACCAGGCCTCCAAAGGGTCGCCTGGCAGGGAAACCAAGTCCACGCGGTGCTTACCAGCTCAGAGTCGAAGGTCCTGCGTGCCACGGAGTCGGCGCCCAGGTCGTCGAGGCTTTTCCTGAGGATCATCACCATGGTAAGGGCCTCAGCAGCTGGGCTCCGCCCCAGGGTGGGCACGAGCCATCTTCCGCGGGGCGGGCTCGGGCAGAGGCACCTCCCAGGTGACCGGCGTCAGCAGAAATGGCTCCCCATCGGCCCCCGGCCTCAGGGTGGGGCCACGGCAGGAAACGGTCAAGTGTGGTCAGCTCCCTGGGAAGACAGAAAAAGGAAGGCAGAGGGATCAGGACGGGGGTAACCAGGGCCCGCCTCCCTGCTGCAGGGCAGACCACCTTCTTGGAATCCCCTTGGAGGGGCCCTAAAGCCAAGGCCCCGACGGGTATACAGATGACTCTCAGTGCAGCCAGTGCAAGCTTCACCTTGGAGTGACACCTTTAAGACGCGCCTCAGGGTGTCCCATCTGCTGTTCCCCAAGTGTGACCAAGTCGTGTGACACCTTACACTGAGCTGGCTTTAGAGACAGCTTCAGTGCCACCCCACCCCAGGCTGAGGGTCACACCTGCACCAAGCCTGCCGTGGGCTCTCAGGCCGTCCGCTGGCAGCAGGGGACCCACAGTCCGCGAGGTGGCCGGTCTTCTCCACCAAGCAATGAACGGAAGCTCCTGGGACACTCGGGAGGGTCCCCTGAAAAGCAGCACCTAAGGTAGCCCCCATCCTGGGAAGGACCACGTTTCCACAGCGACGCGCTGGCTACCCCGGGGGCCTCTGCATCCTCGTCCCTTCCCCGGGACGAGGCAAACCAGGTCGCAGCCCACTCAGGGCCCACCTGGCCCCAATGCTCTGAGCTCCTGGCAGTCACGGGGTCCCCGCCACCCCCCCACGCGTCACCGCTCCGCACGGCCCACCACACGCCCTCGCCTCCTCTCCAGTGCTGCCAAGCAACCGCCGAGTACGGCCCACCGTGCGGGTTGAACAGGTCACCCCTCACCAGCCAGTGACCTTTCCTGACCCTACTCCCCATGCCGCCCCCCGCGGTGCCGCCGGACTCCAGAGGCAGTCCCACGGTCACCGGCAACCCGGGGCTCACCACCCAGAAGTACAAAACAGCGATGATAACAGCAGCCAACACACGGAAAGGAACTCCTCGTCTGCGATTAGAAACGAACTGCTCCGTGCCGGAAAACGTTTCAGAATCCGCGGCTCCGTGTAAAAATGAATTGCGCCCGGGTATTTACTCGCCGTCCGGATTGTAAATCATATTTTCCTGTTTACTCCGATCAGACTTTCACAGTGGGTGTTACTGACCCTGCTCAGTGGCGGGCTGGCTGGCAAGCCTGGGAAAACTACCTTCCACTGTTCTTCCAAAACAAGGTTCACCCGAAGTGCAGGAGCAGGGAAGGGAGGAGGGAAATCGATACACTGTCAAAGGCCGGGCCGCTGGGGACGGGAGGCTGCCGGCCCCAGCAGGAGACCCTGCGGCTCCGACACCGCCTGGAGACAGAGGTGGCGCGTTCTGACCAAGAGGGGTCTGCTCAAGGAGGGACCCTCAGCCCGCTCCTCTGAGTTCTGGCCCGACGGCCCGGCCAGAAACACCGCCAGGCCCTGGACGCCTGGCTCGGGAGCAAGCCGGGGCACACCAAGCGGGGGAGAGCCCAGCGGCGTGCTCACGGGCCGTCCCTTCAAAGGGACCCTTCGTGCCGCCGTGGGGGCAGAAGCGAGGCCTGATGGTGGTGGCCGTCTTCTCCTGGGTGCAAGCTCAATTCCGTTCCGGGGCAGCCCGAGGCCCTGGAGGCGCCCTGCCTGTCGGCCGTCGCCTTCCTCCCTCTGGGGACACACACCTGCACTGACTCCCAGCTCTTGAGATGTGCTGTGCGACTAACCTTTGCCAAGTTACTTTCTGAGCCTCCGTTTCCCTCTCTGTGAATCTGCGGCAGCCTCAGAAGGTTACTGTACCCCACGGCAGCAGAACCCAAGCCCTGGCTGGCCGAGAGGCCCCCGGCTCACTGGAGGGAATGTCCGGTACACCACAACGGTCCCCCCTTCATGGGGGAGCCGGTGGGGCCCGACCCTTTCTCAGCAACCAATGCCCAGGCAGCTGTCCTCTCAACATTTTTAAAGGGGCACTCCATCCAATTTTTTAAAAAGCTACCCATCAAGAAGGGACCGGCTGTCTCGTGGCCCATCCCTCTGGTGAATCGGGAGATGGCCAGGACGAAGGATGCTGCTGAAGTCTGTCTCCATGGAAACAGGTTAGCCCAGCTGATCTGGCTGACGCAGCCGACGCAGCCGCCAGGCACCAAGTGCAACGCTGGCCAGAGGCGTCCTGACTCCTGAAGCCCTGTCCTGGCTGGAGCCCCGCAGGGCGCCAGGGCTCACACAGACAGCAGGGGGGTGACTACCGGAGCCCCTGGGAACCGGGTGGGTGGGCGGGCAGCCAACACAGCAGGCACTGAAAGGAGAGAGGAGGTCCAGGGCAATCCCAGCCCTCGGGGTCACACAGGCGGGCGGGGGAGGGGGCACTGGCACACAGTCCAGGGCAGGTGCCTCTCCACAGCGGCCAGGGACACACAGCACGGCCTGCGTGGGGGCCTCAGGTGCGGGACAGCCTGGACGCCCACCCGCAGGGGACGGGGTACTTGAACCACAGCGCAGTCCCGTGCGGGAACACTGGGTCGTCTTCACCGCAGTCTTAACGGTACAGAAACGAGCGCCCCCCCCCCGCCCCCAGAGAGGCTGACGTGGAAACGGCGAGAGATGGGGCGGCATGGTCCCACCGCCGGGGCGGCCTCCAGGAGGGGCTGCGGCTCCGGAGCAGGAGAGGCCCTCCGTGCCGTTCGAACATTTCATCCGGTGCACAAGAGACCTTTTGGACCAAAGGGAAAATAAGCCAGGTCTCCACAGGAAGGGGAGAGGCGCCTGGGCAGAGGGGTGAGTGTGAGCAAAGCGAGGCGGCCTGCCCTGCCCAGGTGTGTGGGGCACAGTGTGGGGGACGGTGGCCCAGCGGTGGCTGGAGCCCAGGGGACGCGGAGAGCGGGCAGCAGCAGGACGAGGAGCTGGAAAGAGTCAAACCAAACCTGTGTGGAATTAGGCTCCATTGTAGCAATATCCGAAATGGGCCGGGCACGTTCTCGGACTCGAATCCAGACCAGGACAGCCTGGTGCGGTCTGGAATTCTCCGGGACTCCTCTGACCCGTGGTGCGGGCCTGGCCAAGTTCACTGGGGAACGTCGGTGTCCGTGCAGGGACCTGGAGCCCGGTCTGAGAACCGGGCCGGGGGCTCCTCAGGGAGAAGCCAGGGGCTTGGCCTCGGAAGGGACAGCTGGGTGCGTGGCTCTGCCCCAAGTAAAAGGGAGGCGAAGGCCTCCTGAGGCCACCTCGGGGGTGCAGACCCTGCTCTGGCCTGGTGGGCTTTTCTCTTAGCGCATGCTAAGAGCAGCTTCTATCTATTGAGCACCTACTGTATAGCAGGTGCTCTGCACACATCGGCTGCGTGACAGGTTCAGTCACCGCTATTTTCCAGACGAGTGAGCTTGTGTTTGAAGCCAGGACCAGCTGCCAGGCCTGTGCTCCCCGCCGGTGTCCCCCTGCAGCAGAGCCCCTGCCCCCCCACCTGCCTTTCCGTCCCAAACGCGCCCTTTCAAGGCTGCCCCGGGACATGACCCCAGCAAGTGCCCTCCTTGGATTCCATCCCAGGGGAACGCAGGCTCCCGCCCCGCAGCCGCCGCCCACGCGCGAACGTCCCTCACGGCCCCGCTCCTGTGGGTCCCGGCCAGGGGTGCCCTGCGGGGTCCCTCACCGGGCGAGCGCCCCAACCGCTCTGTGCACCGCCAACACGCCACCGAGGGGGAGTCACCAAGGCCGAAGGAGGAAGCCCGGTCGCCAAAGGTGAGTGAGTGCACGAAGCCATTTACATGATACTCTTGAAATGATAAAATTATAGAAATGAAAACTAGACTTGTGGTTGCTGCTGGGGAGGGTGGGGGGAGGGTGGGGGAGCGGCTGGAAAGGAGGGCTCCTCGGTGACGGTGTTCTGTGTCTGGGCTACGTCACCGTCCCTTTCCTGCTCGTGACGGTTCTGCCAGATGTAGCTGCGGAGCGAAACCGAGCAAATGGTACGTACGCAGGGTTTCCCTCCCTCATTTGACAACCACATGTGAATTGCCAATGATCGTGAAATTCAAAACTTAGATTAAGGAAGCCCATTTGATCTATACATTTGTCAGAAAAAAGCACAAAACCCAACACCAAGAGCGAGCTGCACTGTATATAAACATAAAACCTTCTGAACAGAAGCCGCGTGGCGGCCACTGCCTGCACCAAGGACCGCGGGCAAGGCGGGGCAGGGACACGGGCGTCAGATGGGGCAGCCCTGGCTTTGACCTTCGATAAAGTCTCTGGACTTCAGTCTCCTTGTCTTTCCAGGGAAAGGGGTCACAATGCCTTTGCCCTGGGCACGCCTGGAAGGTACAGCACGACCGCATGTGTAAGAGCGGCAGGGAGAGGACCCCGTCGAGGGCACCCGCCGCCCCCACCCCGGTGAGCACGCAGCCACTGGGGTCAGCACTTTCGGCCGTCCGCGTCACCCCCGCCTGTCTCCCACAGGCTCCCTGACCTCTGTTCAAATCTCGTGCTGCCACTCCCCGGGCCCCACAATTGTTCCCACCTGTGCACCGAGACTCCCTGTCCAGGGCTCATGGCAGACAGACGGCCCCCCTGTCCCCCCGCCCCGCCCAACGCGCACCTGCGGGGCCTGCCGGTCCACGGGCCGAGAGCTCAGGAAGGGCAGAGGCCCAGTCTCTTCCGAGGAACACAGGCTCTCTGGCCCCGCCCCCAGGAGCCTCACACAGTGACTCCTCTTCCCCAGGACGCCCATGGAAGGAGGAAGGGGCCAAGTCAGACTTTCCACTGACCCGTGATCCCACTTCCCCGACCACTGGGCTACAGATGTGGTGGCAGAGGGCCCCGGCCACCCCGCAAATCCTGGCCTCGAGGCTGCATCTGCCCAAGGACACCCCTGAGCTCCCCAGTACTGGGCCCAGCGCCAGGCCTGCAGGGTAGGAGGGGGCCCAGAGCAAGGCTGCCTGCAGTCAGCAAGAGGCCCTAGACCCAGCGCACGGCACCCAGCTCCAGGGCC